CGGAGGCGCCGCCAGCCGTTCAGCGCAGGCAGGGCTGCTTGGCAGCCCGGCCTCAGACCGGCTTGCCCAGCCACCTCCGCCTCGAGAGAGCCATGGACACCCGGGAGCTCGGCAGCAAGCAGCCAGATGGTGCCCAAAGCCCGGGCAGTCAGATTTAATGGCCATACCCCACACCTGGGGGTCTGGGGTCAAGGTTAACAGGCACCGAACCAAAAGCAAATCGACATTCATTAAAGGCTCCCCTAGCGTCTTGAAAATGCACAGAGATGTGGCTGGGTCACTGCTGACAAGCAAAGCTTTATAGATAGAAGAACAAGGCAGGAAAGGGCCTGACCGCATGAGTCAGCGAGGGGTGGGAGGGCAGCGGGAGCCAGCAATCATCACGACTTTCGCACAGCAACCTGCCTGTGCAGAGCCACCAAGAAATGCCGGGGAGGAGGGATGCTGGAGGTCCTGCTGGCCTAGGGGCAAGCAGGCAATACCCTGCTGCCGCCTTTGCAGTGTACCGTGGGCTTCTCTGCCCTGAGCGGGAGGGAGCGGGGAGAAGTGTGCAGCAGTAGAGGGGGGTGGTCAGGCAAAAATCACTAATAGGGCATCTGGCTAGAGAAAATAGAAAGGATTTGTTGATCAAGACTCGCAGCTAAGAAGTAATGGGCTGCATGAACAAGGTCACTTTACAGTAAGTGGAATCTACAGTGCCCCTTCCCACAAGGTCCCCCAAAGTAAGGGAAGGACATGAAACTCAAAACTGTCTTTAGCAGAAGGCAGCTGTATTACATATAGTCTTCCTGCTGCTTTCTGCAAAACACGTTCAGGTGACATCTCTCGGGCACATTCAGCACTAAGCAGCGTTACTGCATCTGCAGTGCCAGAAAAGCAGCTGGCGTTTGGGGCTACATGAAAGGAACAGGATCTTTTGCTGAAAGCTTCTGGTTCTGGTTCTGTGAACGTGTTTATTTTCTGTACTGAAGGGAAATGTCACTGCTCTGCCCCCACTCTCCTCAGCATAGCTCTAACTAGCTGGAAGCCTGTAGTATGAAAATGATGATGCTGGAATGAAAGCAATTTGTGCCCAGCTGCTTCTAGGACAGCCAAGAAAAGACTACAATGAGAAAACAGGTCGCAGCCAAAGACGTGCGTTCTGCCGGAGCGAACAGGACCAGAGCTCAGATGCAGATCTTGCCAGCGCCAGACCAGACACAGAAACGTACAGCCTGCAAGAAGATAACGGAGACGGAAACGTAGGTGCTGCTGTGGCTGAAGGGAACCCACAACACGCATCTGCCACTCTCAGATGAGACCCAAACACCAGCTCTCTGAAGCCCTCTTCGAAAGTTTGGACTTGCGATTTCAGAGTGAGTTTGAATCCTGGACAAGCGGGACTCCCCATCCCCTCCTCTCCCTCTAGCAGGGGGACCGTAAGGGTGCTCTTCGCAGTCCCCATTCAGCCCACAGCTTAATATTCTGGCAGTCACTTCTCTACCAGCTTGCTTGACTATAAAGAGTATTTGGACTCCCACAGTGGTTCATTTAACCAGACTTTTCAAAGGATTCTCCTTCACCCTCCCTCTCTCTCCTTCTCAAAAGAGGAATAAACAAGATAAAACAGGAAGCAAAATGAAAAGAAGTAGAGAAAAGGCAAAAAAAAAAAAAGAATCTGAAGGAGGAAAGGAGAGACAGACACAGAACAGGCCAAACGAAGCAATTGCTGGGTCTCTGCTCCTCCAGACCAGACCTGGGAGCAGTTTGGGAGGTTTCTTTTTAATATATAGAAGGGAGTAGACAGAAAAGCACAAGAGAAAAGTGTTGTTGCTTTTTTTTTCTAACATGGGAGCAGCTCCAGGGAAGCTGCTGGAGTTTATGGCAGGTAAATTTGGAGTAAATAAAAGGCGACAGTACATCTGTGCACAGGATGTGACCAACCAGCGGCGCTCAGTATCCAGAGGTCGGAGAGCCGAGCGCTCCCTTTGTTCCAAAGGTGCCGGGTACTTTGGCAGCGGTGACGCCGCGGCGCAGCGACAGCGAGGAGCGCTCAGACCTCGCGGCTGCGCGATTCCAATGCGGCTTCCGCAGCCAGGAGAAACACGTGCAGTCCCACCCTGAACGCGTGCTCTTCCCACCTCCACGCGAGCACAAAAGGAAGGCCCCAGCACGAGGTGAGAGGGCAGGAGCTGCCGTCTAGGCTCCTGCACCATCCATGGAGGGGTCCGGTTCCCCTGAAGAATGACCCAAAGCACCTAAGGGAGGTTTCCAGTCTGAATCACAGCCTAGAGAGCCCTTGGTCAACTGGGAGTGCTGGGACCCTGCAGAAGCTGGCTCTGGCTCGCACGGTGCAAACCCTCTCCTCCCTCCCGGCTGCTCAAATGCCAGCTGTACACCTGGTCTGCTGGGTTACGCTGCCCATTCTGGTACAGAGCAAATCTTTGATTCACAGGCATAAACGGAAGGAGGTGCTTCTCTGGAGCCCGCTGCAGGAGGATGGTCACCACATGCCCCAGGCATCTCCAGACATGCACACGCTGCTGTTGGCACATGAGTCAGCACAGAAAAGAGAGAAACAAAAACAAGCAGATGGAAGAAGTGGAACTGA